TTTTTACTCAATCACAAAGGCAAAAATTCAATTCTAATTAGTATATTTATAATCTTTCATGTGTCCAACAGTTTTACAATTTGCATTCTTTCAAGTTATATGGAACATTCATTTATGAAATTGACCATATGCTAAGCCTCCAAGCTACCCTCAAGAAAATCAAAGGATTGGTCATTTTTACAGATTACATCAGCTATGATACAATAGGATTGTAAATCATTTAAAGTATGTTTGGAAAACATACATTTGGGAATTTTAAAAAATTCTTCTAAACAACTTATGGGTTACAAAAGGAAACAATGAAAATTAGAAAATATTTAGAATAAATTTAATGAAATTATTAAAATATATGTGGAATATAGCTAAAGCAACATTTAGAGGGAATTTTATAGCTTAAGTCAGAAAAAAAAAAAAAGACCATATTATTGAGATATGCATTTAATTTAACAAGTTAAAAGAACAATATATTAAAAGTTGAAGGAGAGAAATATAACAGCAGCAACAATGAAAGGTAAAAATGTGGAGAAGAGGATCAAGGCAACAATGGGCTCTGAAAAGACTTAAAAACTAGATTAACCTCTGACAAAATTAAACAAGAAAAAAGAGGAAGAAAGGAGGCACATAATATAGAAATGAATAATGGAGGTATTAAATTGGAAACAAAGGGATATTATAAAATGTCAATACATTTGAAAGTTTACATGAAACAACTAACTTATTAAAATAAATAAAAATCACCAAAAAATGCAAAAGATTTACAACCCCAAAGAGTTTTATAACTCTAAGTAAATTGATTTAGTGTTTAAAAATTTAGGACCAAGTGTCTTATGGGCATATCTGTGAGACATTCAAAAGCAAACAAATTATTTTACACAGACTCTATAGAGAACTAAAAAGGAGGGAACCATTATTGTGTGAAGCTTGTTCAAGTCTTATGTATTTTTCCTTTTTTTTTTTTTATTATGGTAAAAAACATATAACATTAAACTTACCATCTTAACCGTTTCAAGTGTACTGCTCAGTAGTACTAAGTATATTCACGTTGTACAATAGATCTGCAGAACTGATTCACCACGCAGCACTGAAACCCTGTGCCATTAAACACTAATTTCCCCTACCCTCTCCCACCAGCCCATGGTAATCACCACACTACTTTCTGTTTCTATGATTTTGACTAGATATTTCATATGGTGGAATCATACAATATCTGTCCTTTTCTGACTGGCTTCTTAGCATATTGTCCTCAAATTTCATCCATGTTTTAGCATGTGATGGGATTTTCTATTTTAAGGCTGCATAATATTCCATTATATGTATATACCACCTTTTCTTTATTCATTAATCTGTCTGTGGACATTTGGAATGCTTCAGCCTCTTGGCTATTTTGAACAATGCTACAGTGGACACAGGTGTGCAAATATCTTTTTGAGATTTTGCTTTCAATTCCTTTGGATATATATCCAGAAGTGGGACTGCTGGATTATATGGTAATTCTATTTTTAATTTTTTGTGGGAACTCTATACTGGCTTTTCTTCATAATGGCTGTATCATTTTACATTCCCACCAACAATGCGTGGGATTCCAACTTCACATCCTTGCCAACAATTATTTTCTATTCTTTTAATAGGGGCTATCCTAATGGGTGTGAAATAATACATCATTGTGGTTTTGATTGCATTTCTGTAAGGACTAGTGATGTTGAGCATCTTTTTACATGCTTCTTGGCTATTTATCTCCTTTGGAGAAATCTCTATTCAAGTTGTTTTAAATTGGATGGTTTTCTGTCACTAAGTTATAGAAGTTTCTTATACAGTGGAACCTCGGTTCTTGAACGTCATTCATTCCAGAAGGCAGTTCAAGAAGCAATTTGTTTGAAAACTAAATCATTTTTTTTCCCATTAGAAATAATGTAAATTGAATCAATCCATTTCAGATTCCCAAAGGATTCCTTTTTAACCTTTCTTATATACAGTATGTCTAATGTCTGTTTATAAACGAACACTTTGAATTCATCGAACCACCCCTACCAGCCTCTAAGGAATCAGTCAACACTTGTTCCAGGGGAGTGTTTCAGGTCAGCATGAGGCATCTTCACTTCTTCACATATCACTGCCTCCAAAATGCTGTCACCAGCTAACTGCTTTTCATTTATCTAAATCAACAACGGTTTTTCTATCTCTTCAATTACCTGTGATCGTTGTTTCTTTCACACCCTTAGGAACATTAGCACTCTTGATTGTCTCTATATTTTAAAATTGTGCTAATTGTCCATTTTGCCAGTAACAAAAGCAAAATAAATAAATAAAACCCCACAAAAATATTCACAGCACAATTTCCTGAGATGTTAAACAACGTGAGGTTTAGTGGTGAACTGACTTATACTGGCACATTCTCTCCTTTGTGGCCTGAGAGATGCTTTTTGTCATGCTGATGTACCAGTAGGAAAGGGTTGCTGGTTGAGAACTGAAGTTTGTTTCACAACTGAGACATTCTTTTCATGAACAACTTGGTCGAGAACCGAAATGTTTGAGATGGGAGATGTTTGAAAACTAGGGTTTGACTGTATATTCTAGATATTAAATATAAGATTTGTAAATTTTCTCCCATTCCATAGGTTGCCTTTTCACTGTTGAGTTTGTGTGTGTGTGAGGAAGTTTTCAACTTTTGTGGAGTCTCATTTATCTATTTTGTTGTTGTTGCTTGTATTTTGGTGTCATAGCTAAGAAATCACCTAATAGCCTAATTCAATGTCCAGAAGTTTTCCCCTATGTGTTCTTCTAGGAATTTAATAGTTTTAGGTTTTACATTTAGGTCTCTAATCAAGTTTGAGTTAATTTTGTATACAGTGTAAGATAACTTCATTCTTTTGCATATGGAATTGAGTTTTTCTAGTACCATGTGTTGAAAAAGGGTATTCTTTCCCTATTGTGTAGTCTTGGCACCCCTGTTGAAAATCATTTGGCCATCTGTGCAATGGTTCATTTCTGGGTTTTCTTTTCTGTTTCATCGATGTATTGATTTACATGCCAGTACACACTATGTTAATTACTGTTGCTTTGTAGTATCTTTTGAAATCAGGGAGTGTGAAGCTTCCAACTTTTTTTTTCTATTTTCTTTTTAAAAAATTCATTGTTTCTTGAGATTCCATAGAAATTTTAGGAGGGCTTTTCTATTTCTGCAAGAAATGTCATTGGGATTTTGATAGGGATTGCACTGAATTTGTAGATCTCTTTGGGTAGTATGGATACTAATTATTTTCTTCCCCTTCTTCTCTAATTTCTATGCCTTTTCTTTTCTTTCTTTTTTTTTTTTACCCCTTGTCTGATAGCTCTGGCTAGAACTTCCAGTATTATGTTGAATAGAAGTGGTGAGAGTAGGCCTCTTTGCCTAGTTTTTCCCTCGTTGAAGATATTATTAGCTGTGGGATTTTCAAATATGGCTTTAATATGTTTGGGTTGTTTTCTTCTATTCATGGTTTATTGAGTATTTTTATTATGAAAGGGTATTGAATTTTGTCATGTGCTTTTTCTGCATTGAGATGATGGTGTGATTTTTGTTATTCATTTTGTTAATGTGGTGTATTATATTTGTTGATTTTCATGTATCAACCCATCATTGCCTCCAGGTATAAATCTCACCTTATAAACAAATGCTAATAAATGAGAATGACTAAATATAACTATATTAATAATATTCAACTGAAGACATTAGAACAATAGCGAACCTGAAGGGACTAAAAGAAAAAGAGTGAAAGGAAATATTAATGAAATAAAAAATAAGATTATAGAACATAGCGCTAAATCCAAGATCTGTTTTTCAAAGTGATAGTAAAATATAAAAAGCCATTATCCAAATAAATGAAAGCATTACAAATACATAAAAATGAGACTGCAGTATAAACATAGAAAGAAAGTTAGAAAAATTATGGGAAAAACCTGTCTCAATTCTATAAAAAATAAATTTGAAAAGCTGGATGAAATAATTAATTTTTAAGAAAATCAAAATCTCCTAAATTGATCCTTCAAAATATATAAAATATAAACAGGTCAGAGGCCACAAAAGAAATAAAATTGTCCAAGGGTTACCACTTTCCAAAATGCCAAATCTACATGGTCTGACAGGTGAATTTTTACAAAAATTTCAAGGAAAAGGAATCTGCTATGCTATTGCAACCTCTCCACAGCAGAAAAAAGATAGGGAGGGAGAGGAAACTTCGATACTAATTTTATGGAGTGTGGTCTTGATACACAACAGTAGTGCCTAGTGGTTAAGCACATAGATTCCAGCCATGTTTTGAACCACTCACTAAACCTTTGTGTCAGAGAGAGTTAACTGTCCACCAGCATCCAATTTTCCTTTCCATAGACTATATAGTACATTACTGGAATATGATTGCTACTTAAGAATTTTATCAGCCCCCTTTCAGCTAGACTATTTCTTATTCATGGAATATGATTCAAGTGATGTTGACCATTTCAAAACCAAGACTTTAAGCAGATGGACTATCATTGTGGAAGGCAGAATAATGTCCCCTCAAAGATTCTAATCCTTGGAGCTTGTGATATTACATGGTAAGGAAGAATTTATTGCTAATCATTTGACCTTAAGATGATCTTATATAACCTAGGTAACACCCAGGCCCAATGCAATCACAGGAAGAGGGGACAAGAAGAGTCGGTGTCAGAGTAATGTGCTGTGAGAATCAACCTGCCATTGTTGGCATTAAAGATAGAAGGGAGCCACGAGCCAAGGAATGTGGGTCACCTCTAGAAGTTGGAAAAAGCAAAGGAAACATATTCTCCCCTAATGTCTCCAGAAGGAATAGAGCCCTGGCAACCCTTTGATTTTAGCCCATTGAGACCCATTTTGGACCTCTACCCCCAGAATTGTAAGAGATTAAATTTGTGTTTGTTTAAGCCACTGAGTTTGTGGTAATGTATTACAGCAGCTATAGGACATTAGTTAATACTTTCCTTCACTCTCCTTTTCATCTTTTGCCAGCAGGATGCAATTGACAGTGAAACCATAGGTGATAGTTGAGCCACAAGATGGAAGGATCCCAGGCCTCTGAATCACCAATAAGGCAGTTATCTGCTGACTCTTAGGTGAGATATAAACTTCTATTGTATTTGAAAGATGACATTTGTTGCAATGTATATCTCATCCCAATGAGTAGACCTCTCTGTTCATCAGTTTTCTTATTTAAAAAAAAGGGGAGAGAGAGAATAACAACGTAGCTACCTTAAATAGTTATTGTGAAAATTAGTCCTGGCCAGTTTGGCTCAGCATCAGAGCATCAGCCCATAGATCAATGAGTCATGGGTTCAATTCCAGTCACGTGCAACTACCTTGGTTGTGGTTCATCCCCGGCCCTGGTCGGGGTCAGTGCGGGAGGCAACCAATCAATGTGTCCCTCTCACATTGATGTTTCTCTCTCTCTCCCTTTCTCTCCATCTCTCCCTCCCACTCTATCTGATAATAAATAGGAAAAAAAAAGTTATTGTGAAAATTAAATGTTACTATATCAATGATTTCTAATGCGCAGTAAGTACAATGTAAATATTCAGATTGCACACATGCATGCCTGCATGTGTACACACACACACACACAATTTATAGTATCTCTTTTGAATATCGAGCATTCTAAATAAAAGATTGGCTAACTGGTAGATAGAATCCAGCAGTACACAAAAAGAATAATAGCCATGGCCCAAGAGTGGTTTATTTGAAGGAAAAATACAAAGTGTTCAATATTAGGAAATTTGTTAATATCATTCACAATTAGTAATGAGTGGAAACTAGTTCCTTTCTGGCTCATAAGTTAGGGATAATTTTTATAGCTTTTCTTTTTTGGAGGAAGGTGAGCATTTTTTTCATAATATCCCAAACAACATTTTAACACCATAGATTGTGAAAATTAGCTCAGACGTTAAAATTCTGTCTGTTTCTCTGTCAGAATTTTGAGCAGGTGTCACATTATAACTGCTGAAATCTGATCATGGGTGATTATTCTGGTGTCAGAGCCCTATACTTATGAAATAATACTAATAATACAAGATTTTAAGTGTAGAATACAAATAAACATTTCTTACACATGGTGTTAAAATTAACTACAAATAGAAATACTGTCTCCAATAGTATTTGTTTAGTAGCATTATATGCAGGTGCTTTGAGGTTAACATGTGCCACCAAATAGACAAGCTGCGTATTCCTCGATACTAAAACATTCAGAAAACAATAATTTGATGTAACAAAGTGAAGCTCATGTTTGTGAAGGAATAAGCCCAGTCTAGATTTTCTACCTTTGGTATGTTGAAGGAGAAAATGTTCTTTGGGGAGAGAGATTGCATCTTTGTTGTATACTCCTTGCTGACATTGGTTTTGTTGATATGCTCTCCTGACTTTTAGGACTGGAAGGAGAGTTTGATTTGCTGAAATAGTCTGCAATGGGTATTGTCATCTTATTTCTTCTTATAAACATTGGAGGCTTGCACTCAGCCTCTGAAATAGAAAAAAATCTAAATAAGACCATAATCGAGACATCGAACATAACTTCTGCCATGTTTTAGTAGCAAATGACATAAAAAAACTGTATGAAGTTTAGATGAACCAGATACACCTTAAATTCATAAAATAATCTATTCTCATCTTTCGTATTATCTGCTCGTCTTTAATGAGTTATTTGTTCTATAACATGCAGATGTGTTCTTTACTCTTAGACTCAAACATTATTTTGTTAAGAGTGAATCAAGGCTGGGAATAGGCATGATGGGGCCAGTGCAAGAAAGCAGAGGGATCTATAGTCCTGATAGATAAAAAATGAATAGACAAGCAGGTTAAAACAAGTTATTTGTACTCATGAGACCTTCACAAGGCCTCCATGGTCACATCCAAAGAGGAATAAGGTTTTGGGGAGATTCTAAATATCAACACTGGAGACAAAGGTATCTAATTTGGGGATTCTTATACATTTTCCAAATATCTAGACAGGGTAAAATAGATTTGGAGCCAACAGTATTAAGTCATAAAATTGAGTAATAGAAACATCACTGTCAGGATTTTGTAGTCCCCGGGTGAAGAGTTTTGTAGAAGAAGATAGACACAATAGACAATCCTTGGAGTATCAGAATAAGGGGGTATTTTCTAATTTCTAAATTACACTTATTATTGTGTAATAGCAGCTAGAGCTCCTTTTGGTTTGGTTAACTCCAGCAGAACCTGCTGCAGTCTAGAGTGGCCTCCAGGAACTCTAATTGATTACATACCATTTGTGGTATAAGGGGAACTTGTAAAAATAATAAGACAGATTTTTGTTTGAGGCTAGTAGACATACCTCATAGCCATTGCTCTGTACTCATTGTTCTATAGTCATTGTTGCTGTGCCTGTTTTAAGGCTGGGAGCTACTACTAATCCCACAGGGATGTTTCAGTTGGCTTATTCTGGACCAACATAGGACTTTCCACAGTTCTTGATTCTTCTTGGTCCAAATCATAGGCTGGGGCTGGGCTTCTGGTAGGGACACAACTGTTCCTCTCTTTTGTATTTTAGCTGTCTCATGAGGCATCTGCTGGATGATTACCATTTTACTGTTTTCTCTGGTTGACCTTGTTTCTAGTGAAAATCATTTGGCTCAATGACAGTTGAGCTGTGAAGAACCAAAACTCTTAGACGATTGTCTTTTTGTTAAGTCAACACAGGGCTCCTCCTGTCACTGGGCTGGCATGACCACACCTATAGTTCCCTGTGTCCTTCTGTCTTGCTTCTCAAAGAATGTCTGTCCCAGATGAGGCACTTTACTTTTCAATACAAAGTTACATTTATGTCAAATTTATCTCTAAGAGAAATTCAGCTGATGCTGCTCCTTTTGTATTTTACTGCATTTGAAACCATAGATCCTTAATATCTGTGTCCCTAACTAGTTAGATACATACTGGTTTCCTTATAACAACTCAGTAATTATCACAAACTGTACTTAACCTTTTGGTACTTCCTTATTTTCTTCAGATCCTTGACTTGGCACTCTAAATCAGTTAGAGAAAGAAAATGAAATTCATAGATAATAAACAAATATTTTCTGTAGACTGCATTATTGTCATATAAGTTAAGTATATATGTGTCTTAAATATGCTATTCCAATTCTTTGTGTTTCAAAGTTGACAGTATTAAATGTGTTTTCCAATGAAAAACTATTCTGACTTTGAGTAAATATCTAAATAGTACATCATACTCACAAAGCTAGAGAGATGGACCCTGACTATCTCCCAATTTCTAATTTTTTAAATCCTTACCTGAGGATATGTTTTTTCCCCCCTTGATTCTCCAGAGAGAGAGTAAGGGAGGGAGGGAGGGGAGAGAGAGAAAGAGAGAGAGAGAGAGAGAGAGAGAGAGAGAGAGACTGGTTGCCTCCTATATTATCCTGACTGGGGATGGAACCCACATCTGGGTATGTGCCCTGACCGGGAATCGAACCTGTGACCTTCCATGCACTGGATGATGCTCTAACCACTTAGCAACACCAGCCAGGGCACACCAGTTTCTAATTTTATGGAAAATTTAAGGTGGAGACAAATTGCAATGCTACAAAATTCTCTATCTTAATTTTTAATTTTAAAGCAAAAAAGATTTTCTCTCCCAGCTTAAATAACATCTTACCATATTCTTTTACCATGATGTTATACATAAATATGCATTTTCTTCTGTCATTGAAATTAGAAGGTTTAGGAAGAATTTTTACTGAAATATTTTCCAATTCCCTTAATAGTTATTTTTCCATCTGACAACCCCCAGGAGTATGTCAAAAATAATTAAGTAAAGTAATTTATTTTATTGCATTGTTCTATACAAAAAAGTGATACCTCTATGATTCGCACTTAAAAAATATACAATTTGGATTTTCTTTATAGCTTTTATTTTTAATTAAACTAAAAAGCATAAAACCCTATATTTTCTTAGATTTCTGGGTGGCTACACTTGCTCTTAGTGGAAAGGGAACTTTCCTCAAAAAGAAAGGGTGTTGGATGAGGAAGACATAGCCCCTGCAAAAATGCTTTGAAAAATATGATTTAGAGTGGTTCTCATTACATTTATGAAAATGAAAAAATATATATACATTGTTGTCATTTACTGAATAAAGAGGAGACTTAAAACCTCAGCATGTTTAGCGTTTTGAAAGATAAAGAAAAGAGAATTCAAAGTCTTACATACCATCCACCCTCTAGACGGTCATTGTGTCTAATTACCTGGTCAACTGATGCCCTTCTCTGGGTCTGGTCAGCACTTTCGGTTTCGCGGGTAAATTTGAGGGCGATCTATCTTGGGTTGGCTTCGCGGTTACTGCTGCTGGTTCTGCTGAGATGCTTCTTCTTTGAGGGCCAGCCAACAAGTTTATCTCAGCTAGCTCAGCATGAATCAAAGCTGAGACCCACTCTTTTTCTGATTTAACAGAAGAGGCAGGAAGGGCAAGAAGGTTGGTAAGTATCATCGTCTAGAAGCACTGAATTAGTTTTTGTATCCAGCACTCCAGTGTAAAAGGCTGGTCATCTGTTTTCTGGGTAGGCACCTCTGTGTGAGTTGAAGTTTCTGCAGAAAAATTGGCTCACCACAACCTAGTTTCTGTTTACCTGTGATACTGTCGGGTGCCTGAGTAGCTAACTCACTGAGGTACTTGTCCATGAATGGCAGTGGAGTAGTTTTCAGATATTGAGTGCAAAACTCAACCTTATAGGCTGTTGCCAAATGAAAAAAGGAAAAAAATAAAAGTATACCTAGCCCTGGCCGGTGTGGCTCACTTGGTAGGAGTGTCATTCCGTACACCAAAACGTCATGGGTTCAATTCTTGGTCAGGGCACATACCTAGATTGTGGATTCAATTCCTGGTCAGGGTGCGAGCAGGAGGCAACTGATCAATGTTTCTCTCTCACGTTGATGTTTCTCTGTCTCTTTCTCTCTCTCTCTCTCTCCCCCCCCTCCTGTCTCTCTAAAAATCAATACTTTTTTCAATAATAAAAAAAGAGGAAACCTATACCTATAAAAAATAATGAGTACAATATGACCTTACTAAATACAAACTGAGTTTGGCCAGTGTAGCTCAGTGGTTGAACATTGATCCATGCACCATGAGGTTGCCGGTTCAATTTCTGGTCAGGACACATGCCCGGGTTGTGGGCCAGATCCCCAGTGGGGAGCATGCAGGAAGCGGCCAGTCGATGTTCTTTCTTATCGATGTTTTATCTCTCTCCCTCTCACTTACTCTCTCTCTAAAATCAATAACGGAAAAAAATTTAAAAAAAAATACAAAGTGATAGTTAAGTAATAGTTACAAGCATATCTAGAAAGATATACACTATTCACTGAAATAATGTCTGTGATAATTTTATTTATTATTATTGTTCTTCTTTTATTTTTTTTCTGGTTTCTTATCCCCCCCCCAAAAAAAATAAGCACTTATTTCTAATGTAATTTTTTTGTTATATTCTTAAAAAGGACCAAAAAAAAAAAAAAGAATAACTAAAGAATTATTACCCCTAAATACTTCCCAATGGCCTGCCAAGTAGTCTTAAATTCCTGGGATAAAGAACTATTTCCAAAATGCTCCCATTTAAAACATTAGCCTGTTCCTGGCACACTGGTATTTCCCAACTTTAATTAGTGCAATTGTTCTCAAAGCATTGTCCCCAGACCAGCATTCTCAGCATCATCTGGGAACTTGTTAGAAACGCAGATGCTCAGGCTTCACCTCAGAAGTTTGGCCTCTGTCAGTGTGATGACCAGCTAGGCTGAAGGACAGCTGCTCTATGCTGTTCACGGTCATCCCATTAAGACCGGCATGCGTTCTCATGGAACAGGCCAAGAAGGGCCTACAGGAGGCGAGCAGGTGATGAGTTGACGGTTTTGGTGGGGAACTGGCAGAGCTGTTAGGATCTGGAACTTGGAAGCCTATGCTCCTGCCGTCCATAGCAAAGAAAGAAACAGGTTCTGGTTCATCTCACCTTTTGAACTTGCGTGAAGCAGCCACTGTAGAACTTCGGCCAGAGAATCGGTACGTAAAATGTTACAGAGCTTTGCCAGAATCTGACAGAGAATATTAGAGTTACATAGTGAGCAAGGACATGTACAAGGCTTATAAAGTTCCCTTTACTTTCTCATCTTCCCAAATGTCACTCTGTACACAGTGCTCAGTTAACTCAATAGGGATTCTAACTTGGGAGACAGCAGACTCTTTAAAAACAACATCTCCAATACAAGTAGTAACAGTTTAGGTTAGGTGATGCAGTTTCCTTTGTTTTGTCTGTTCAGTACCAACATCATCTGGAGAAGCCATTCATTTTTCTTCTGTTGGGGAATTGATCCTTTCCCTCTGGACCATGGGCTGCTAATGGGCATCTCCTAGTCACGGAACTGTCCTATCTGTACTGCTCGCTCCTCTCTAAAGTGGGGGAATCTAGCTGGATTTATCATTGTTCCTCAGTTCCCTGAACACAGTGATCGGCCCAATGGGATAGGAATCTAATGCCCTTTTGTCAATCAGAATCCTCCTTTGACAATTTTTATCTGAAGCGAAGGGCTGAAATGTGGATGATAGAGGAGATAAATATGTGAAATAATTAATTCTAATAAAAATGGACTATAAAAAGCATTAAAGTGCAAAGTATTTAGCACATGTAACAATGTTTCCAGTTTGACCCTAACCTCCATCTGCTGTTAGAATTTAGACATATCTGAAAGTCATATCTGTCTGTATAACCATCAGCCTACTAGATGTATCCACTTAGACATACTACAGCTACTTTGAACCAACATATCTAACACTAAACCTCCATCTTTCTCTTCCTAAAATCTGCACCAAACTTGCTTTTCTTCCTGGTTCCCTGTCTCTGGGACAGCTCTAGCAAACATGAATGTATGTCCAAACCAGAACTGTGGGTTCATCTGATAATGCCATACAAGTTCAGTAAATTCTTCCTTCTAAATATTTCTCAAATCTCTCCGTTTCTCTCTATGAGCAAGCACAACCTTGACCTAATCCAAACCATCATCAATTCTTCCTTGAGCTACTGCAGCACCTTTTTTTTCTAGTCTCTCTGCCTGAAATATTTTCTTAAAATACTATTAATTCAACAAATATTAGTGTCTGTCACTGATCTAGATGCCGGAGATATAGAATTGAAGTTAAAGGGCAGATTTATCCACTGCCCTACATTGAGCTTTATTATATTATTAAGATTCTTGTCCTCAATAATGTCATATCCTGAAGACAGAAAATTAAATTTGCTCCTAATTTCACAATAATCAACGGTTATGGCAAGTATAGGAAAAAGAACCCTTTGGCATTACTCCCAGCTTCTTTAACTCATAGATTACTCACTGATCAACTTTGACAGAATAGAATTATCCTTTTAGTGGGAGGAAGTATAGTATGCCCTCCTTTCTTTTCATTGAGTTTTGTTCCAGAGGGTTGTAAATATATTGGCAGGTGAATTTGATGTGTGGAAACTTGATTTTAGGATTTGGGAGTGTAGGTCTATCGTAGACCCTACTGTGGGGCTAGAGTATCCTACTCTAAGCTTTGAGCTTTCTGGGGTCTCAACTGAATTCCTGGTGTGTGCAATAATGTCTCCTTAGTCTGGCAGGTCAGAAGTCCAGCATCTCTAGGCAATGTGTTACCTCCTATTGGCTTCCTTCTGCCAGGCCTCAGAATCTCATCTTCTGTATGTGCAGCTTACACTAGTTTGAGGACTCATGAAACCCTGTGCAGAGTTTTAGAGCTCATTCTCTCCACAGATTTCTTCAGAATCTTAATTAGCCAATTCCAGCCGCTTTGTCATCCCCCCAAATCTGAATTCTGTTTTCTCTACCAGAATTCAAATTCTGGTGAAGCTGTTACTGTCTGGGCTCCACTTTTCTATGCCATAATTAGGAATGTGCTCCAGACAGAAATGTGGAAATCATCCCAATTGTTACTTCTTTTTCCCAGTGGTCTTATACTGTACTTTCTGTTGCCCAGTGCCTGAAAACAGTTTCTTTATATATTTTTCCCAGTTATATGGCTGTTTACAGTAGGAGGGTAAGTCCTGAACCTAATCTATCATTTTGGAAGCAGAGTACCTTGCCTGCAATTTTGCTTCCTCCTTCCAAATTCATTAGGTATCATTCACTGCTTAAAATTCTTCACTGACTTCCCACAGCTCTTGGGATGAAATCTGAACACCTCATTATAAAGTACTTCATTATCTGGGCTCTGCTTAGTCTCCCACCCCATCTCATGCAACTTTCTCCTCGCACTCTGCAATAGCCATATTAATTGCTTTTAGCTCCTTGAATAAGCAATGCTCTCACCTCCTAACCTTTAGATAGAAGTTCTCATGGCTGGGAATGACCTTTTTCATACTTCTCTTTATCCTCTAAGTATATCTTAAACATTATTAAGTTTTTTTCCTCCTTGAAGACTCTCTTAGCTATAGAATTTCTTTCTCTATGATCTTATAACACCTGTACAATCCTTCTCATAAGCTTTGTGAATGAAGGAACCAACTGTATCTTCCAACTATAGTATTTTGTCATTTTACATTAAATATTTATGGAATAAATGAATGTGTCTGGCAGGCTTTTGGGTGCCAACAATAAAGAGACTTATTTCTATAAATTCAGGATCTTTGGGAGGAACACTAAAAACAAGATCCTAATAGACACAGAATTCTGTTTTCCTTTATAATAATAATTGTGAAACTGCATACTTTTTCATACACACCCCTATACAAACAGTTCTTGATTCCACAACCTATTCAGAGTTACCAGCCTGGATAATAGGAAATTGGAATATAGTTCAGATTTTTTGTAGAAGACACAGAATAATGGGATACCACCAAGATGAGCTCTGTGTTTAGGACTGTTTTATACAAACCAAAAAATTTTAATGACCTATTTTCTTACTTTACTCCTTCTCCTTTAATTTATTTAACAAATAGTTAACAATTATTTGCTAAAATACAATGCTGTGTGTGTCAGTTCAAAATTTGCCAGCCGGGCCCTGGCCAGTTTGGTTCAACAGTTAGAGCATCAGCCCGTGGACCAGTGAGTCCTGGGTTTGGTTCCCGCTAAGGACACGTACGGTAGTTGCAGTTCTTCCCAGCCCTGGTTGGGGTCGTGTGGGTGGCAACTAGTCAATGTGTCTCTCTCACATCGATGTTTCTCTCTCTCTTGCTCCCTTTCTCCCTCCTTCTTTATCTGAAGATAAATGCAAAAAAATGTCCTCAGGTGAGGATAAAAATAAAAATAAATAAATAAATAAGAATTTGCAAGCCGGTAAGTGTTGAAGATCAGTTGTGAACACGATAAACAAGATCCCCTCTTTAAAAGAGTTTACGTTTTAGTGGATTTTGTATCAATTGCTATCCAGTTAATACCTGTAAGGTGTAAGATGCTTTTGAGAGAAGGGCTCTTTAATAGATACCTACAATGCCAGTTTTATAGGATCATGCTGATCTATTGCTATGCCCAAGGAAGCAAAACAGCCTTACTAAAACTGCACGCAGCTCATGGTTGAGTTGAAGACCTATGTGTTTAGCTGACTTTCTACAATTCCACTTGGATCTTAATAGAACTTTTTCTTAAAATGTATGTATTCAACATTTAGTAATTCTTATTTAATAATTACTAGGTAGTAATTTAATAATTACTACCACTCATCTAGGCACTTGAAGACAAAGCAATAATGAAGACAGACAAGTATGAGATCTTATAAGACTTAAATTTTAGTGTGAGTCAGGTGGGGAGGTAGAAACAATATTGAAAAAATAAATAAATATGAACATATCAGAGATGGCATGTGTTATACAAATAAATAAATAAATAAATAAATAAATAAATAAATAAATAAATAACAGAGGGTAATTGGGATAGAAAGTGACTACGTTAGAGTGGGTGTTTAGGGAACCCTCACAACATGCTCTGTTGTTTGCAGTTGCTACTGTTGATACTTATTTTAAAAATCTGTCAGAGTGATCATTACAATATTTTGACCCTAATTCATTGTAGCGAGTCTTACAGTGAGGCAAGGTAGAGGTTACCAAAAGGATCTAAAGAAGGCAAACAAACAATGGCAGAGGACAAGTATCAGCTGCTTGATTTATTCTTGATTATGTCGTCTCAGAAATAACTGTAGCTGGAGAGAACCATCCGGTAGTCTGATATGACAGATTACTATTAATATAAGTTTATAATTTCAGGCAGAGAAGGTTTGAGGAAACAGTTTTCCACAAATAAGAGAAAGATGAATGTTGATTGGTGGAATCTCTGCTTTATAATATGTGAAGGAAATGTAAAGGTTAGAATTTGGAGGTATTAGAAGATGATAAAGAGAGACATGGGAAAAATAGGGCCAAGGTTGTTTGGCAAATGCCAAGCTATTCATTATGTCTAAACCAAATGCTATGGGTTTTTGTGTATGTTTGTTTAAAATGCTATTGAATTTGCCCTGGCTAGTTTGGCTCAGCGGTTAGAGCATCAGCCTGCGGTCCAGAGAGACCCGGGTTTGGTTTGCGTACCTCCGTTGCAGTTTATCCCAGGCCCTGGTTGGTCCTGCGGGTGGCAGCCACTTGATGTGTCCCTTTCACGTCAATGTTTCTCTCTCCCTCCCTCCCTCCCTCTCTTTCCCTCCCACTCTATCTGAACAACAACAAAAAAAAAAATGGAAAACTGTCCTCGAGTGAGGATAAAAAAAACAAAAAACAAACAAAAAAAAGTTATTGAATTTATTGGGGTGAGCATTTGTTAATAAAATTATATAGTTTCAGGTGTATAATTCTATAGTACATCATTGTATATTGTAGTGTGTGTTCAGCATCCAAAGTCAAGTCTCTTCCCATCACCATGTATCACGCCTTTACCCTTTTCTACCTCCCCAACCCCTTGCCCTGCTAATCTCTATGCTGTTGTCTGTGTCTATGAGGTTTTTTTCATCCCGTCACCTTCAACAAACAAACAAAATAGAAACAGACTCACAGATACAGAAAACAGACTGATAGCTACCAAATGCTGTGTTTTTAAAAGAGTGGCATGATTCCAGGGAGAAGTAAGACTGCAAATGAAAAAAGGATTAGGCCTTGGAATCCAGGCTAAGTGGTTTTAAATCAATTCAGTTGTTAAAGGGGAACCAAAGAATTTTAAAGATGCTAAGTGATGTGACTTTTGTTTGTTTGTTCATGCTGTACCCAAGTTATGGATTAAACAAACCTGCCCCTTACTTTGATTTCCTGATCCAGATAGTTTGGTATGCATACGGTTTTCTCTTGGACGTTAGTCTTGGTACTCATCACCTCTGAAGAACAACAAGCCGCAGTATAGCATGCCTTTGGAGGTGAGGGTGGATTTTTTACCTTAATTTCCTAAATCAAAGATACAATATAATCAATACGCATTTGCATTTACTTATATTTTGTATAAAAATTAAATGTAAAAGGAATCAGAAATATTGTAGCTAAATGAGAAACATACATAAAAGCAAAAAGAGGTTAGTTTTATCCTCCCTTAAATATCTAATTTTCAAATATTTACATCTGGAGCCAGAACAAATAGTTTCACTTTTTCTGAAACCATTTAAAACCCTTGGTTGAACATCAACATAGTAATTTTTAAATGTTTAATGTGTACATTTTATTTATATTGCTGCTTCAGATAAGAACCAACTCATGACATATAATACTATTTTCTGTTGAGTTGGCAGTATTTCTCTTTTAGGACTGGAAAAGGTAGCCAAGAGGTTTTATGGTGTGTCTGTAAAGGGACTACGTGGTGTGAACTGCTGCCTCCTCACTCTGCTAAGGATCAGCTGAGAGCTGGAGAAATAGAGAGGTAAACTTAATTACTTCCCTTGATTAGGTGAAAAAGGAAATAGAAAGTCTATTTTCTTGTTTTGAGAGGTAAAATATACTGTTTGCAATTTTTTTCAAAAAAGGTTGTGGAAGCTTAAAGTCCAAGCAGAGTTATAGATATGTGCATCTATTCCAATAAAGGCTTTTTAACCTTCAGAAGCAAGTGATACATAAAGACACATAGAAACTGGTGTCTGGATGTGTCAACAACTGGGGACTGTGAAGACTGGACTTGACTTAACAATGTTTAACTGTTGACATTTAGTGAAAATAAAGCTATATTGTATTTAGATACATTCTTTTGATAACATGTATTATACAGACTTCTAATTTTGGGGAATAGTAATATATACCTTTTTGGTTTAATCCTCCCACTGAACACAACTAAAAAGTCAGATTAAAATTTTTTAAAATGGCAGGGAGTGAATAAGATAGGCATTAACAGGTCAGAAGTGAAAGGGAAGTGAGAAGCTTGAAGTATAACCCAAAAATGGAGCTAATTTTGTCCTGAGGTCATTGAGCTCGGAGAATGCGAACTTTCCTTTTGACTTAAAGGTCCTGAAAGACAGGACTCAAAGTTCAGGACCCAGATAACAGCCACCCAAAGGCTATACTCTCAAGGTGAAGGTGACCTTGAAATGTAACAGTCCTTGAAGAACTGTAGCCTGAGATCCAGGTTTGAACCTGGTTTAAATTGTAGGGCCTCTAGGTTCCTATAGAAGCACACACAAATACTCTCTGGGAGAAAATTAATTCACCATCGGCTTCAGATTCCCACAAATAATTGTCCATATATAATATCCAGCAATTGAGCTGTGAGTCAAGAAGGAATTATAATGTAAATTAGAAAAAATTTTAACAAGACTACTGAAAATGTTACATAGCAAAAATTATAAAAGCAGCTAAAGCAATCTTGAGAGGGGAATTTATATCTTTAAATATATGTATTAGAAAGATAAAAGAAGCTACACAAAGAATAATAACAAAGTATGTGAACGGAAAGAGAAAAAGGATAATAGAAATCAACAAAATAGAAAATAAATATATAACAAAGAGGATAAAAAACACAAAAATTAATTCTTCGATGTCCTAATAAAATTGATAAGCTTCTGTTGAAACTAAGAAAAAGAACAAATTAACAAAACTAAGATGTAAAAGAGTACATCTACTCCTTGCCGCATCTACTGCGAGGATGAAGATTATTCCCAGCAATCAGACTGTCGACATCACTCTGAAGGGATGCACAGTTATTGTGAAGGGCCCCAGAAGCACCCTGTGGAAGGACTTCAACCACATCAATGTAGAACTCAGTCTCCTTGGAAAGAAAAAGAAGAGGCTCCAGGTTGACAAATGGGGAAATAGAAAGGAACAGGCCACCATTCGCACTATCTGCAGTCATGTGCAGAACATGATCAAGGGTGTTACACTGGGCTTCCGTCACAAGTTGAGGTCTGTGTACACTCACTTTCCCATCAGCGTCGTTATTCAGGAGAATGGTTCTCTTGTTGAAATCAGAAATTTCTTGGGCAAAAAACACATCTGCAGAGTTCGGATGAGGTCAGGTGATACTTGTTCAGTATCTCAAGCCCAGAAAGATGAGTTGATTCTTGAAGGAAATCACATTGAACTTGTATCAAATTCAGCTGCTTTGATTTAGCAAGCCACGACAGTTAAAAACAAGAATATCAGAAAATTTTTGGGTGGTATCTATGTTTCTGAAAGAGGAACAGTTCAGCAGGCTGATGAATAAGATCTAAGTTGTCCAGCTATAGGAACACCAAGATGCCGAATGATTTTCACAGTTATTTGCGATATTTTAAAGATGCAATAAAAGCCTCATATTGATTTGGGGGGCGGGGGAAGACTACATGTAGCATATCCTGCAGATATTTTATAAAGAATATGAAGATATTATGTAAAACATTGTTGATAAATGTGAATGTTAATATGAAATGAATATTTTTAGAAAACAATGTTATCAAAATCAAGAAGAAATAGACAACCTGAACAATTCTATAACAAAATAAATTTCAAATCAAAGTATGTTATGAGTGTTGAAGACAGTAATTTTATAATGATTAAAGGGCCATTTAATCAAGAGGACATAGCAAACTTAAATAGTTATACTCCTAATAAAAAAGTTTCAAGTGACATGTTTAAAAACGGATCAAATAAAAATATATGTATACAAATCCACAATTACATAGTCAGAGATCAACACCTCTCTCTCTCAATAATGATAGAAAAATAAACAACAAATCAGTAAGGCCATGGGAGACTTGAATGAGAGTATCAACCAATTTGACCTAATTGATATTTATGTTACATTCTACCAGCAGAGCGAACATTCTTTTTTCATGGGCACATGGAAAATTTATCAGGGTCAACCATATTCTGGGCCATATAACAAATCTTTTTTTTTTTCCATTTATAGAGCTTTATTTATTTTTATTTTTTTAAATTAATTAATTAATTTTTGTTACAGATGTTTCTCCTTTTTTCCCCCACTGATTCCCCTCTCCCCCTCCCTACCGGACCTGTCCCCAGCTTTGTTGTCTGTATCCATTGTTCATGCACACATGCATATAAGTTCTGTGGTTTATCTCTCCCCCACCACCCCCTCTTCTGGGGATTGTCAGTCTGTACCCCACTTTCACGTCTCTGGGACTACCCCATTCCTCAGACTGTTATGTTCATTATATTCTACAAATAAGTGAGATCATATGATACTTGTCTTTCTCTGTTTGACTTGTTTCGCTTAGGACGATACTTTCCAGGTCCCTCCATGTCGTCTCAAAGGATGAGAGATCTTTCTTTCTTACAGCTGCATAGTACTCCATTGTGTATATGTACCAGAGCTTTTTTACCCATTCGTCTACTGATGGACACTTGGGCTGTTTCCAGATCTTAGCTATTGTAAATAGTGCTGCTGTGAACATGGGGGTACATATATTCTTTCTGATTGGTGTTTCAGGCTTCTTAGGGTATATTCCTAGAAGTGGGATCACTGGGTGAAATGGAAGTTCAATTTTTAATTTTTTGAGGTAACACCATAGCGTTTTCCATAGTGGCTGCACCAGTCTGTATTCCCACCAGCAGTGTACTAGAGTCCCCTTTTCTCCACACCCTCGCCAACACTTGTTGTTTGATGATTTGTTGATGGCGGCCATTCTGACAGGTGTGAGGTGATACCTCATTGTTGTTTTAATTTGCATCTCTCTGATGATTAGTGATGTTGAGCATTTCTTCATATGTCTCATGACCATTTGTATATCCTGTTTGGAGAGGTATCTATTGAGTTCCTCTGCCCATTTTTTAATTGGTTCTTTGTCTTCTTTTGTTGAGTTGTATGAGCACTCTATATATACATTTTCTTGTAGGATTTTTATGGATTCATGAGTCACATTTAAGTCTTTTATCCATTTTGAGTTTACTCTTGTGTAGGGTGTAAGTTGATGGTCTAGTTTCATTTTTTTTGCACGTAGCTGTCCAATTTTCCCAACACCATTTATTAAAGAGGCTGTCTTTACTCCACTGTATGCTCTTGCCACCTTTGTCAAATATTAATTGAGCATATTGCCTTGGGTCCATTTCTGGGTTCTCTGTTCTGTTCCGCTGGTCTATATGCCTGTTCTTGTGCCTATACTAGGCTGTTTTGATTACAGTGGCTTTGTAGTATAACCTGAAATCTGGTAATGTGATCCCTCCAACTTTGTTCTTCTTTTTCATGATTGCTGTGGCTATTTGAGGTCTTTCTTGGTTCCATATGAACTTTTGAAGTACTTGTTCTAATTCTGTGAAGTATGCCGTTGGTATTTTGATGGAGATTGCATTGAATCTATAGATTGCTTTGGGTAGTATGGACATTTTAAAGATATTAATTTCTTCCAATCCATGAACAGGGTATGTGCTTCCAATTTTTTATATCTTCCTCTATTTCTTTTTTTCAATAACCTGTAGTTTTCTGTGAATAGGTCCTTTATTTCTTTGGTTAAGTTTATTCCTAGGTATCTTAATTTTTTGCCACAATAGTAAATGGGATTGTTTTCTTAGCTTCTCTTTCTGTGAGTTCATCACTGGTGTATAAGAATGCCATCGATTTCTTGACATTAATTTTGTATCCTGCTACTTTTCCAAATACATTTATTAAGTCTAGTAAATTTTTGATGGAGTCTTTGGGGTTTTCTACATATAGTATCATTTCATCTGTGAATAATGACAGTTTCACTTCCTCCTTTCCAATTTGGATCCCTTTTATTTTTTCTTGCTGTCTGATTGCTGTGGCTAAGACTTCCAGTACTATGTTAAATAAGAGTGGCGAATGTGGGCATCCCTGCCTTGTTCCTGTTCTTAAGGGAAATGCTTTTAGTTTCTGCTCCCAGCCGAGGGCACAGCTCCCAGCCGAGGCCGCAGGTCCCAGCCCAGGCCGCTGCGGACCTTGGGCTCCTGGCCCCCTGTCGCATCTTCACAAGCCTACCAGGATTGAGTCATTGTCCCTGGTTATGTGGTCCTCCAAGCTGCTTTTCGGTTGCCTTTTCCTGACGATTTGTCTTTATTTTTGTTGTTAATTCCAGTTTGGTCCTGGGAGATGTCTGTGTAACTTCCATTCACTCTGCCGCCATTTTCAGTCTCTCCCATATAACAAACCTTAATAAATTTAAGTTGAAAATATTCTGGGCAAGGAGCAATTAGCTGATGTAGACATTCATATCCATGTGAAGGGTGGTGGTCACATGGCCCATATTTATGCAATCTGCCAGTTCTTCTCCAAAGTTCTAGTGGCCTTTCAGAAATAAGTGACTGAGGCTTACACGAAGGAAATCAAAGACATCTTCACACATTATGACAAGACTCTGCTGTTAGCTGATCCCCATCACTGTTAATTGAAAAAGGTAGAAGCCCTGGTACTCACTACCAGAAATCTTACTGTTAAGCTCATCATGAGGATTAGGCTTCATCTTTATAATAAACAATGGTTATGGGATTTAAGGTTTTAAAAAAAGGATATTCTCTGGCCACAATGGAATTAAATTGGAAACCAAGCACATAAAGATATCTTAAAAACTGCCAAATATTTGGATGCTAAATAATAACTTTAAGTAACTCTTGGGTAAAAGAAGGAATTAAAAAGGAAATTAGGAATTATCTTGAACAGAATGAAAATTCAACATAAAAAAGTTTTGGGGATATAACCAAGGCAGTATTTATAGAATAATTGTAATAATACATACTTATATTAGAAAGGAAAAATATCTCAAATCAATGACCTAAGCTTTCATCTTATATAAATACAAGCCAAAATCTATGAAATAGAAACAGAAAAACAAAGCAATGGAGATCATCAATGAAATGAAAAGCTGAGTCTTTAAGAAGATCAATAAAACTCATAAACTTTTAGCTACATGCATTAGGAAGAAAAGATCATATAATCATTCAAAGGATATTTTATGAATGATTTTATATCAATAAATACAACAACATAGATGAAATTAACACATTTCTTGAAAAACAGAATTTATCAAAGCTCACTGAAGAAGAAATAGATAACCTGAATAGTCTATATCTGTGAAAATAAGAAATTGAATTTGTAGTTAAAAATCTTTATTAAAAAAAAAATTCCAGCCCTGATAGCTTCACTGACAAATTCTACTAACCTTTTTTTTTCTAAAGAAATAATACCAATTCTACATAAAATCTTCTAGAATATTAAAGAAGAATTCCCAACTAATTCTATAAAGCCAGTATTATGCGATACCAAAACCAGAGAAAGCATTACAGATAAACTGCAAACAAATATTCCTTATGAACATAGACATAAGAATGCTAAACAATATCTTATGAAATTATATAAAAAGGATAACACATCATTACCATGTTGAGTTTTTCCCAGGAATACAAGGTTAGCTTAACCTTGGATATTATGTAGTTTAACATTCGAAAGTTGACCAATGTAATTCACCCTATGAACAAACTAAAAAAGAAAACCCATAGGATCATTCCAAATAGATACAGAAAAGGCATTTGGCAAAATCCAACCCATATTTCTGATTTAAAGGAAAAACTCTCAGAACAGTAAGAATGGAAAGGAATCTCCTTAGCCATATAAAGAACATTTATGAATAAAGTAAACTAACATCGTACTTAATGGCAAAAGTCTGAATGATTTCCCCCAGCGATTTGGGCAGGTCAAGGATGTCTGTTCTTATCAGTTCCATTCAACATTGCACTAGAGGTTCTAGCTATTGCAATAAAGCACAATAGAGAGAAAAATAGCATTTGAAACTATAATAGAAGGATTTAAGATTTGGGTTTTATCAAAATTATAAAAGATACAGTTACCAAAAAAAAAGCCTCAGACTGGAAGAAAATATTTGCAAAATATGTATGTGACAAAAGTTTTATACTTAGAGTATATAAAGAACTTTTACACCTTTGCAATAAGAAGACAACCTAATTTAATACACTTTCCATAAAAAGATATATGGATGGCAAGTAAGAACATGAGAACATATCAACCTCATTAGTCATTAGGGAAGTGCACATTAAAACCACAATGAGATACCACTTACCCACTAGATTGGCTAAAATAAAAATACTGACCATACTAAGGATGTGGAGGAAAGGAAAGTCTTATACACTGCTGGCAGCAATACAAAATGGTACTTTGAAAAACAGTTTGGCAGTTTCTTAAAAAATTTAACATACGTCTACTTGAAGACCCAGTCATTCCACCCAAGAGAAAAGAAAATGCATCTCCATACAAAGACTTGTGCACAAATGTTCATATCATCCTTGTCAAAAACTGGAAACAAGCTAAATGTCTATCAACAGGTAAATGGATAAACCAACTGTAGGAATACTCCTCAGCAACAGAAAAGAATGAACTATGCTTTTCATTGGCACAAAACATGGGTGAATCTTAAAACAATTATGCTGAGTTAAAGAAGCCAGATTAAAAAAAGAGAACTCACTATATGATTTCATTTATATAAAATCCTAACAATTGTATGCTAAATCTTTAGTGACTGCAAATAAATATTTGCTCATGGGAGGGCCAGAGTCATGAGAAAACTTTTGGAAGTAATGGCTGTTTATTCTCTTGACTTCAGTGGAAGTTTCTGTGGTGTGGGTATATATTTGTCACAACTCATCCAATCATGCACTTTAAGTACAGGGTGAGGCAAAATAGGTTTATAGTTGTGAGTATACAAAACAGAGATTATTCTTGTATTATTTATTTATTAATTATTGTATTATTTTCCATACAAAGAACTGTAAATGTACTTTTGCCCCACCCTGTATGTGCATTTTATATCATGTTAATTATACTTAAGTAAAGCTGTAAAATATATTGTGAAACATGGTATCTTTTCAGAAAATTATGTGAAGAAGAAAGAGGAGAGGGAATGATAAAAGTCAAACAAAATAGGTAGCTGTAAATAGTTGTTTCTTTACCTTTTTTATTCCTAAGGGATTCTCACTGGAAGTTGTGAAGCACTCCCTGATTTTTCTACAGGGCTCTGAAACGATATTGAGTAAAAATATACTTAGATCAAACTAAAAATAAATTTCTATCACATGCCGAATATGTCAATTGATGAAATAGATGGGAATACATCTGAATTTAAGATTAACCCTGGGATCTGTTTATAAGTATTAGAAAACTTGCAGGTAGAATTGTACTACAATAACACAGTAAAAGCATATTTATTATTACAAAACTAATTCTATGGCCAGGAAGATGATATAAAGAAACAATTTTTTAAAGTACATAAGATATATTTTTCTCTGGTTCCTGTCAGTATAACTGTCACTTTCTCCAATTACAGAGACTGTATGTGTGCTGTTTGCTCTGTGGACAGAAAGCGAAGACATATGCTGAGTTATAATTTCATTCTTTATTTTATTTCTTGTTTCATCAGTCTCTCAACCCTATCATTTCATACCATCCTGTAGCTAAATACCAGCAAATTACCCTAAAACCACTTAAACGTTTAATTTTTCTTTGCATTAATTTAAAGATATAGTCTGTCTAAGTGATATTATCTTTTTTACTGAAGCCATATAAAACACAACAATTCTTTTAAAGGTGAAAAAAGGTTGTGTGTATACCCAATAGTAACTGAATTCATTACTTAGAGTAGGAAGAACAAAGTTATGGGTGTGAGCCTACTAACATAATTCTTATGGGAAACAGAAACCACTCTAGCAATTCTAAGCAAAAATAATACACGGAATTGGTTGTTTCTAATATCACTGGAGGGGCTGGGACAGTGAACTCTGATCTTGACCTTTCACAAATCATTTCCAGAACAACACTGCACCTGACCCTCCAAGAGGGACACAGCCTTTATCCCAGTCAGAAGGAAGGGGAGTCAGGAAGTCATGGCCACTTCATTTGCTCTCACAACATCCATGGGGTTAAAGATGAGGCAATGGATCACTGCTGCAATCCGAGAGCCATCATATCTGCTGACTTTGCCTTTTGACACCTACAAATCCAGAATCTGAACACTGAGATGTTGTACCAATATAACCAAACAAAAACTTGTCTCCAGTCACTTGATAGGAGACATCAACCAAAAACACGGCCTCAGTCCCATGTCTGCAATATAAATTTTATCAGGCGGCAACATCTAATTCCCATCAAAGGACTTTAGCAAATGTAATTTTTAAGTTTCTACATTTTACAGTATAAGAAGGGACACCAGAAGGAAGGTGGAATAAGTGGGCTTTGATTCTTTATTGCTAGTGGAGAGGAACTCTTAAATAAAAGATGAAATAAGTTAACAAGTGTGAAGACCCTAGAATGGAATCACATAGTAAGTACACTATTAATGATCCCTCTTATTATCTTTTGAAAGACATATATCTTACCATATCATAACGAATGGTTTTCATGTGTTCTGAAACATTTAGTAGTCACATGTAGTTTGTACAGGGCAGGAAACAGAGAACGGGATATAATTTCTACCATCCAGAATTCCTTCTATTTTATCTTGATCTTTAGATTTTGCCATACTGTGCTTTTTTTTGTATTAGTTTCAGGTGTACAACATAATGATCACATATATATGTATATGTGTGTATGTGTGTGTATGTGTGTGTGTGTGATAATATATATATTATCACAATAAATTTTGTTAACTTCCATCACCTCACATAGTTACAATTTTTTTCCTGTGATGAGAAATTTTAAGATCTAGACTCTTTCAAATATACAATACAGTATTGTTAACTATAATCATTATTTTGTATTTTTTTTTATTAATCTCGCTTCATTTCAATTCCGTAAACATTAATTAATTCATTGAATTGTTTACAAAAGCCCAGGCACTGTGCTGGAAGCTGAAGAGATGCCAAGAATAATAAAAACAGAGCCCTGACCTTAAGGGCTGTGCCATCCATGGGGGAAGATGTAAACATGAAATTCTGTGCCCATTGCATTTCCCCATCTCACTTTTTGTCTGAAGTAGTTTCCCTGTCAATGCTGGCTGAAGATTCATTTTTGGTATCTCTTAACTACTTTTGTAGAAACTAGAGATTAGAACCACACCAAATATGTCTTAGACACAATTAAGAATAATTATAACATTTATTAACATTTTTGAACTACTGAATTGAAATTAGATGAGTGAAACATTTTTATAATGAATAATCTATGTCACAGTGAGAAAACTTCATGGCTATTTAAAAATCACCGCTGCTGTATCAGCAATCATATAAATGTCAACCCCACCCCCACCGTTCCCTGATCGTTTGCAGAAGGACTCAGCAAAGATTTCATCAGTTGAGTGGGACTCACCAGAATGAGGCCGTGGGGGGTGCACTTTGACACTGTTTGGCGCTGGTGAGACTCCTCTGACTGGGCTCTCCGGGGCCACCGTGCTGGGTGGGTGACTGCATTTGGCAAACGGTGTTTTGTTTTTCTCTGAGTGGTTGAACTGGTCAACATCCCACAGTGTTCCCAGTGAGTTCTCGTCATCATTCACAGTACAAATCGGAATGTTATTCAAACCTAGATAGTAAGGATAAAAAGAACAAACCACCAGATTAGGTTTTGGGCAGGTTTTCTTTCAGTGATCAGCAATGTCCCACCCAACCAGATGTTCTTAAATGCATGTAAGATGTCAGACTTCAAATTGTATGAACCAGTGCTATCTTTGGGAGTCAGTGCGGCAAATTATATTTACAATGCATGCTGCCTTGAAATGTGTTGCCATCTTGTTTACCTGAGAACTAGACCCACATCTCTGGTCTTGGTCTGAGGGTCAAGCGGTAGATCTGTTTCTATTCCAGACAGACCTCTCCTTTCCCAAGTGTTGATAATGACTAAGAGGGATTATGTTAGTCCTCTTCATTAATACCAGATTGAGATATTTTGAAAGCATCTAGAATGTCTCAATGTAGAAAGGCATCCTAACAGACATACAGTGGCTCTTTTTAAATACTGGCAGAGGTGAAAAGCTGTTGGAGCTAGGAATAGCAGAATAAGGTAGGTGGTGAGGGAAGGAAGGAGAATGTGGTACAAAGGAACTTCCTCATGTCGGAGTTCTGGGTTTATTCCCTCTTCTATTAGAGCTATTTGCTTTCGGCTCAAATACTGATTTATAGACAGGTTGTCTTTTCAGTACAATGCTATGTCATGTCGGATTGGACAGCTTAGGAAATGGGGACATGCAGGGCACTGCTGTATATTAATCAGTGAATTACGAGAGGCAGTAATAGATGGCTGCTTTGTGTCACAGGAAGCGTCTTGATAATGTTTTTTATATTTGCTATTCTTCTGAACCTCTCTCTGGTACAGTCGGTCCACACTCTCTTCTTAATCTATTTGCTCAAATGACATCAAACAGGTCTTTGCTGACAACCATGTCTGAAATATAGCCCATCATGTTCTATCTCCTTGTGCTCTTTTATTGTTCCCATAGCATTTATCACCTGTCATATCTTTTCTCACATTGCTAGGCTGAGCTGCCCAGAATATAAATTTCATGAAGCATAGGTTTTGTCCATTTCATTTTCTGCCCTATCCGCAGTGTCCAGAATAGTGCCTGGCATAAAGTAGGTGGTCTATGATTATTTAAGTGAATAGCCAAATACAAAGCTTTTATTTAATCTAATACTTTAAACTTTACTGATAGTAACTTGTTCCAAATAGAAATTAGAATAAAATTTCTGAAGATAGCATCACTTCTTATCATTTTATCTTAAACACTTGGGTTAGTGATTGGTCCAGGAGCATAGTGAAAAATTGCTTATCAAATGAAATATATCACACTAACACAGAGACAATTAAGGGAAAAAATTCTATTTTCTCTGTTACCTCCTTTAATTATAAAAGGTGTGTGTGTGTGTTGGAGGGCCTTTATTCCTCCATCTCTAGTTTTTTTCAGCTTTGTTTTTCTTGTTAATTTATACATTTTCCATACACACACACACAGAGAAAATATATATGAAATATATATGTAATAAGAAAGAATTTGGATTCCATCTACCCAAGAGTTAGGAAAGAACTATATAAAAATGTGTGAAGGGTCAATGGAATGTCATTAAAGTGGCTTCAGAGTCAAATGGGACAATATTAGATGATTTAAAGCTAATCACGGAAATGTGAAGTTCGATCCAACAGTGAAGAAGGTTAGTGCCGGTCTTGGTGGGAGTTTCATTTACCTCCTTGAATATACAGGAGAATTAGGTAGTGCAGTCTTGGGCCCAAGAAAGACCAGCTCCGCCTCTAGGGAGTTCAGTTTCGGTACCACAGTGATCATAAGAAACGGCTCACTCATGTCCCTGCCCAATTCTCTGATTAATGTGCAACTTCAGTTAGATGAGAAAGTAATTCTAATTTTTTTTTTTTTTTTTGGTCTAAGGTAATTGGTTTTCTTCCTGATGAATGTCCTTTAACATTGGGAAGGTTTTGAACTAAAAATGGAAATGTTAAAATAAGAAAAATACATGCTATTCTTATTCATGGGTTAAGTTTAGTAAAACCATTGCATATGTGTATTTAATACATATATAATATTTAGCTAATTGGCATATTAGACTAACAAATTATCTTTAGAATTACAGCTTCAAATCTTTATAAGAAAATGACATTTTAAGTAGAAATTTAAAAAAAATTTTAATTTGATAAACATTAAAGAAATGTTTTAAGTAATGTATTTGTCTATATAAGTTTAATTTATTTTATTGACAAGCGTTATTTACAGGTTGGTGTGAATTTGCTTGTAAAATATATATAAAGGTTTTAAAAGAAATCAAATCTATGTAATGAGTAATTGACATTTAAAGTTTTTAAAGGTATTTATTAACTAAGTTTGTAAGTAGAACTAAATATTAATCAAAGACTCCCTTGAAGTGATTGTTAAAATTTACTAGACTTTTAAGTAAAGTAATAAAAGTTTTAAGTTAAATTTTTAAAGTTAAAACAAAAAGATTTGGAATTTTTAATTTAAAATTTAATTTAAAAATAGTAAGTAACTGTAAATAATCTTCTTTGTGCACAAAATTCTCCATCAAGAATGCCAAATACTTAATATTAGCATAGTTGGTGTTATAAAAGTATTAGATGCTCATGAGCACTGAATATTTTGCTCTGAACTCGATCATTCTTGAAAAGTATGGTCCTCCAACTAGTCTACCCTAACTAGTCAAAGGTGCTATCAGTTTGGGGCCCTTCCTTAACTCCTCCTTCTCCTTTCTTTCCCCTTCAAACTGCATTTGATCTTGTCCTTGTTTTTCTGTTTTGTAAATGAACCACTTCTCTCCACAGACCCCGTTACGCTCCCTTCTAGGCCACTATCATCTCTGGCTTTGACTACTACTTTCGCAATTTATAGCCTTTTAACTGCTTTACTTCCTTGCCCTCATCCAATCCATTCTCCATAGACAACAGAAATAGATTAAGATATAAACTTCACCTTTTTAAACATCCTCCCCAGAGCCCTTCAGAGGCTTCCATGCACTTGGGACAACGTTGTACATGTTGAAATAGGCTAAAATGTTCCCTAGGAAGTGACCTGTGCCTCTTATGACTCATCTCATATCAATACCCTCCCACCCCTCCTTGTACCTGTGCCACACTGGGTTTGTCTCAATTCCTGGAACGTGTAACAAGGAGACATTTTCCACCTCTGAATGTTCACTCACACTGTTTCCTGTAGTCATGAAAAAGCTCCCCAATTATTTGCTGTTTCTCATTTTTTAGGTATTGCTGTGAATGTACCTAAAAGAGATATTACTCCCTGGCTGGATAGCTCAGTTTGTTAGAGCATCGTCCTGATATGCCAAGGTTGCAAGTTCGATCCCCAGTTAGGGCAACTATAAGAATCAACCCATGAATGCATAAATAAGTGGAACAAGAAATCTCTCTCAATCTCTCTCTCTCTCTCTCTCTCTCTCTCTCTCTCTCTCTCCCCCTTCATCTCTTTAAAAAAATCAATAATTTAAAAAATAGAGACCTTCTAGGCTCTACATTCTCAAACTAAATTAGATTTCCTTATGGTATATTCTCATAGTTTCCTACATTTTCTTTTAGAGCAGTTGTCTTAGATCACATTCTCTGGAAATGGAGGCTGGGGTGGTGATTTGTGTGAAGGAAAGTTATTGGGAGTGTTTGGGGAAGAGCATGTCTAAGGAAGCCAGGGAAGCCGGATGGGGCTAAAGATGAACTGCGATGCGGATACTGCAGAGGCCTCCGTCCGCTCCACAGGAGCAGAGGGTGGCTCTGGGGAGGTGTTTCAACTCGAGGCAAGGAGGTCAGGCCTTTCTAACACCCATCGGCCACTCATTGGTCAAACTCCCATTGTGCGTGAGGGCTCTCTTCAGCTGAGAGCTATCCCAGAGAGGGGCTCATGTGGGCCATCAGGAGCAGACACACCTGGCAGGTGAGCAGATGAACGCCGTGGTCCTGAAGGCAGGATCTACGGAGGTGGCAGGTGCACCAACTACAGTAATTGTTCCAGCTTATGACTAAAAATTTTCAAATTGTGTTAGTATCAAATATCTTCCACTAAACTGTGAGCTCCTTGAAAGGAGGAGGTTTGATTGTTTTGCTCACTTATGTTTCAGTTTCTCACGGAATGGCTGCCACAGGGAGGCGCTAAATTCTTGTGGAAGGAAAGGAGGGAGTTTAACACCCAGATTAAATTGTAGAGCCACTGACAGATTTTAAACAGAATTTATAGCTACCTCGGCCGTCTAGTAGTTGTGTGTCTTTGAAAACGTGTTTTCATTAAAAAATCATTTCCAGCTGTATTGTACCACGTGGAAGTGGCGTGGGCCTCGCTTGAGGTTGGGAGATCGGTCAGAAGACTGAGTCAGTCATCCAAGTAAGAAGGTGTGAGAGGGATGGACCAGGGCAGAGCAAAGAGCAGAGAAGATATGAAGCACAGAGAATAGTCAGAGGGTTATGAAATAAGATTCAAGGAGAATGGCTGGCTGAGTGACGACCAGAAACAAATTCCTAAAGGAGATTAGGGAAATGAAGGCCAAGGGAAAGCAAAAAGATGTTGAAATAAAGAAGTCATAAATACCCTAGGAATCTGTTGTCTTGGCAAAATCTGAGGACAGGGTTTTTCAAAACCCATATGAGAAAAAAATTGCATTTTAATTGCAACTTTTTTCTCTATGAAGGCAAATACTACTAAGTATTTAACTGACTATAATTTTTTTCTGATTTCAAATGCTTGGAAGTACTTGATACATCCCTCTTCTTTATTTTATTTCACATTCTTCCTTGAGTTATCTTATATCTCTACCACAATATAAAACTGCTGGCATGGGACTGACATTTATGTCTTTGAATCCCCTACAGTGCCTACCCCACAAAGCTCTGTTCACAGAAATATATGTTCATCTGAATAGAAAATGTTCTTCAGAACTCTTTTGAGGACAGATCTTCTAATTCTAGAAATCATAGTCCTGTAATTAGAATTGAAATGAAAAACAGAAGAGCAGCCAGTTCAGTTTCAAAGAGCAACACTCAAGGTGTCCATGAAGCATCCAGTGTCTCACATGTAGGTCGAGTAGACAGTTGAATATAGAGATCTCAAGTCTGAGTCTAGGATACACATTTGAAAGCATTTGCCCTATGAGTGTATTTGAAACTTGTGAATGGGTAAACTTGACTAGGATCGCAGTAGACTAAAGAGAGAAAATGGTCGAGGACTGAGCTGTGAGGGACTCCAACATATCCTGCAGCATCAGCAACAATAAAGGCTGGGAAGGAGAAACCACAGATGTAGGAAATGTAAATAAATAGTGTTACAGAATGGAGTAATCACAGCATGAGTGCCTGGCACAGAGAAGGCCTGCCAGCCTCTGCCTTAGCTCCAGTGCTGGTATCTGGTCTCAGAGTCAATGCCTGTGCCTCAGCAGTGGTTAAATATTTCGAATAGCACCCCATGCTTACACCAGAATCATTAAGTAGCCTGTGAAGAGAAGATAGAATTCTAGGACCTTGAGTCACCTTACCTTTGATGTGGCAGACCCTTCTGGGATGAGGGGTGTGCCTGACGAGATAACAACTCCCATTTCTAGCCATACTATGGCTGCCTTTGCTCTCCAGCTGAACAGCAGAGGATGGGGGTTTGAGGCTCATGTTCGTGGAGTGTTGGCTTCCTCTCTCTGCTGTTGCTGCAGACGTTGGGTCTACCTTGTTAACCTTGCTTCCACTTCCAGAGGTGCTCATGCCCTGAAATTACAGAATGACAATCATTCTGACAAGGGGTGCTTGACATTTTCTTCACAGCGAACGTTTATCCACCTCCTTTGTTTGCACTGAATTATTCCTCGTGTCAAGGCAATGTGTGGCCATTCTACTTTCAGACCAAATTTTTGTAAACACTGAAATCAATCTAGGCATGGGTGGAACAGAAAAATCTTTCCCTGAAAAAATCAAAACTTTTGTGAGAAACTTAAAGTATATTCTATATTTAATTGTACTTAAGGTCACTTTGTTAGCTTTCCAACATAAAAATAGATAGCATGGTTATTATCAATTTTGATATAGTAAATTAAAATGATATCTTGAAAATACAATACCCACAAATGTGCTTTACATTAAATTCACTTCCAATAAGGACCTTTTCTATTGTACTTTAATGAAATCAGTATCTTAAGTTTGTCATTTTCTGAGATAGTAAAATCTGAAGAAGGAAAAAATCCAATAGCAAAAGAATATTATGTTTACAGATGATAAACTGGAGAAACTTTGACATGTTGTTATTTGCAGTATTCAGTAGTATTTAATGGTGTTCCTTCAATCACTCAGCAGTCACTCATTAGACACCTACAATGTCACAGTCCTAAGGGATAAAAGACAATTTGATGGCTCTTGGGGAATTCACAGTTATTTGGGAAAGACAATGTCTGGATTAGGAACATAGGAAAGCACTATATAAACTGTCTTGAAGGTGGTATACTGGTCTTGAAATTTAAGAAGACTTTTTTTTTTTCTTTCTGGTGTTTATTGTATATTTTCCAACTTACATGAAAATCTTATCACAGCAGTATTAGGAAATACACATTTTATTTCTAACCATGGAGGGGGATTTTCTGGTCAGAATAATTTGCAGTGTCAAAACATTTCCAGATTCTAGAAGTTAATTTCAAGAATTTGTTGGGGCAGATAGTTTTAGTTCATTGACTGTCTTTTTAGACTAGAGCAATCTGTAGACAAGTTTTTCAAGGTATATATTCAGAGTGCATGATTTAGGATTACCACCCCTGTTGCCACAAAACACCAGATTCTTATATAATTCTAAAATTATTCTAGGCTGAATAAAATATATGTCACTATTTTAAATTCACAAAATATTATCTAATGATAAAAATATATTTTATCATTGTTACTTATGAGTAATTAGGAGGTAGTTCTAATCTCTCTGTGAAAAGCAAACCATAGACTTACTCATTCTTCTTTCTATGTGAGACCTTTTGTATGATCAGGTCAGTAAATTAATTTTTTTATTTGTATTGGGAAAAAATGGTACAGCAGGCAGTTTGGAAAAGGATATAGAACTAGAATTAAATAGTGGGATTTATGGTCCCAGCTTTCCATTAATAAGCAAAGTGACCACGGGTGGATTGTTTTACGTCCTAGATTTTGGCTTGCTCATCTGAAACCTGCCCGTCATTACATGTCTGCTGGAATATTTAGTTATTCTACTCTGTGTGTCTTTCCCACATCAGTTCTCTTAGGTTTATTTGAAGGATAGGAAAATACTTTAAATTCTGGTATAAAAGATCAACAAGCAAACAATGCAGAGAATTATCCCTCCTCCTCCTGTGAAAAGTGCAGTGCAGTCTGAAATTCATCTTGCTCTTATATTTCCAAAGGTGTATAGCACTTACTCCTGGATTGTAGAAAGTTTAATAATCTGACGTTATAGTTTTTATTGTTTCTATTAACAGTTTCAAAATAATGTTAAAGGAATAAAATCAATGTATAAATATTTTATCCTCATATATCATTTAAAATTCTACAAAATCCAAAATATACATTACATACTATTGAAAGTCTCATTTAAACTTAAATTTTCACAAGTGGAATACTTGAATAACTCAGTTGTACTTTGATTTGTTCTAGAAAGTGATATAATGATATAAATTAAAACTAACTCAAACCTGAGGAAAAGCAAAACTATTTTTTGCTCTGTGAAAGGCACTGTTAAAAGAATGAAAATTAAGCCACAGACTGGGAGAAAATATTTGCAAATCACATATCTGGCAAAGGACATGTATCCAGAATATACAAGAACACTTAAAACTCAACTGCAAGAAAACAAATAGCCCAGTTAAAAACAGGACAAAAGATCTGAACAAACACCTCATCAAAGATCATCAGTCTGCCCAGCTGGTTTGGCTCAGTGGTTGAACGTCAACCCATGTTACCAAGAGGTTGCCAGTTCGATTTGTGGTCAGGTCACATGCCCAGGTTGTGGGCCCAAACCCCAGTTGGGGGCATGCAGAAGGCAGCCAATTGATGTTCTCTCTCATCAGTGTTTCTCTCTCTCTCTTTCTCTCTCTCTCCCTCTTTCTTCCTCTCTCTCTCTCTAATCAATAAAGAAAAAAAAAGGTCATCAGTTGGCGAATAAGTGTGTGTTAAGATACTCAACACCATTTGTTATTAAGGAATAAAAAATCAAAACAACAATGAGATACCAATATACACCTATCAGAATGGCTAAAATCCAAAACACTGACAACACCAAATGCTGACAAAAATGTAAAGCATCAGGAAATCTCATTCACTGCTAGGGGGGATGAAGAATGGCACAGCCACTTTGGGACACGTACTGGCAGTTTTGTATAAAGCTAAACATACTTTTACCATGTGATCCAGCAATCATGCTTCTCAGCGTCTGCCCAAAGGAGTTGAAAACTTATGTCCACATGGAAACTTACACATAAATGTTTATGCATAATTGCCAAAATTAAAAGCAACCAAGGTGTCCTTCAACAGTGAATGAATAAATAAACTGTGGTACATCCAGACAATGAAATACTATTCATTGCTAGAAAGAAATGAGCTATCAAGCCATGAAAAGACATGGAGAAATCTTAAATGCATATTGCTAAATGAAAGAAGCCAGTTTCAAAAGTCTATATACTGTATGATTTCAACTATGTGACATTCTGGAAAAAAAAATAACAATGGAAATAGTGATAAGTGGCTGCCAGAAATTCCAAAGGGAAATGGGGGAGTAACAAATAGGTGGAATACAGGGGGTGTTGTAGGGTCATGAGACTAACCTATACTGTACTGTTCTATACTGTAATAGTGGATACAGGACATTAAGTATTCACTGAAATCCATAGAACAAAGCAGAGTGAACTCTATGTAAACTCTGGACTTTAGTTAGTAATAATGTACTATATTGGGTCAGAAGTTGTAACAAATGTACCACACTAATGCAAATGTTAATAATAGGTGAAACTGTGCAGGGGAAATATATATATGGAACTCCTGGTAATATTTTCTCAATTTTTTTATAAGCTGAAAAACTATCTAAAAAATAATAATTTGTTGGTTTTTAAAAATCTACCTTCACAGCCTGAAGAAAAACAAAACTGTTCTGGCTACTATTAATAAAGACTATATCTTTTTCTTTCACCTGTTGTTTGTACTGATTTCAACACTTTAATCGACTGATATTTATTTTCATGAATATCTTCACAAAGTCCATGAATTGCTTTGGAATAATATTTCTCTATTAATAAGCATTAATTTTAGATTGTAATTAAATTTTTTAAGACTTATAAACTCAGAAGAAATTAATGAATTACTTATTCTTATACAAAAGGGTAGATTTTTTTCCCCAAAAGATAAATCTGAAATGGGCATATTATTAAAATGAAGAATTAATAGAAGTGGATATCAGGAAGTAAATTATATATTAATTGATAAATATTGTCTTTATTGGTGAATCAGAAATCTTATTTACTTTGTAATGAAGTGACTGACATTTTTCCTAAACCAATATTGGAGAAACCCATCGATGCAAAACTGGTCAATGCATATATCATGGATGGATTCTGAAGACTAAATCAGTTCTAGTTATTTCTACAAATGGGCCACGGATTGTTTACGATGGTCCAAATACAGTTTTGTGATAAATCATAGGTATAGTTAAAACAAACACACACACACATACACAAGGAAAAAACACGCACTTTTTCCCAGCATTTTAGCTTAGTAGGTATTTGCCATATAACATAGAGCAACAGTTCTCAGCCTATTTTCCCCATCATGATAAGCATAACAGATGATGTTCACATAAGAGATAGATTCTTATCACATGTTCAGATTTTATTTTATTTTATTATTATTATTTTTTATCCTCACCCGAGGACATTTTTCCATTTTTTGTTCAGATAGAGTGGGAGGGAGAGGGAGCGAGAAACATCGACGTGAAAGGGACACATCAAGTGGTTGCCACCCGTGCGACCCAAACAGGGCCAGGGACAAACTGCAACCGAGGTACGTGCCCTTAGCGGGAACCGAACCCCGGGTCTCTCTGGACCGCAGGCCGACGCTCTAACCACTGAGCAAAATCGGCCAGGGCACATGTTCAGATTTTAAAGAATGCATCCCAAAATTGTGGGGAAGCTAAAATACTAAAAACAAATCTTCAGTCATCACAGCTATGGTGCGTCAGTAACGGACACTCAGAGGAGCTGTATAAACAGGTTCTAACTCCAGTCTTTCCAATCAGGTGAACACATGGCATTGCATCTAATGCCAGAGATACTGTTAGAGAATTACTTTTCTTTGTATTAATAATCCCTTTAAAAAACTAGACAATTTGCGAACATAAATATTTTGGTTATTATTAGTAAATATCTAGAGTCTCAGCTCACTACCTGTGCGTTGTCAAACCTAGGCTGAGACCTCCTGACTTCAAAGATATACCCAAAGGACTTGCTGCGTGAAAGCAGTTGAGTTCCATGTCTAATTCTGTGTTCATTGTGACGCCAACACTCTGTTTTCACCCTGAAGAGGAAAAGGAGAACCTGTGTAGAGGCAACTCTGTGGGAAGAGCTAATTAAAATTACCATTTGCCTTTCAGAGAATTGAGTGAGTACTCCTGGGAGCAT